GGACCGACCCACCGATCCTCCCGACCCGTCCCGGCCCGTCCTGGTCAGACTTGCGCCCCCTCCCAGAGCGCGGGAGTTAAACTTGCCCGCCTTGAGCTCCTCGCTGCGGTCGCCCCACAGTCCCTATCTTTCCCTGGCTCTCCCTTCCCGTCCCCCGCCCTGGCTCTCTCACTCTTGACTCTACACTCTCGCTTTCCCCTTCCCCCTTTCTCTAGGACTCCCTCCGAACCCCCTTGCCTCTCCCTAAACTGTGGTCCCCTCACCTCTGCGTGACCTGCCTCGGCCTCCCGGTCCTGCCTGGCCCAGTCCTGCCTTTGGTCCCCAGTGGAGCCCCGCTGGTTTCATGAGTTAAGGCCTGGAGATCCCAGATGTGGGCATCTTTTCCGTCACCCAGAGGCAGCTGCTTTTTCTCCCTCCCACTTCCATCAGCAGATGGGGAAACTGAGGCAGGGACGTCCCAGCTCAAGGTCACAGCCAGCATGAGGCAGGGCAGCCCACATTAAACCTCATGCTTGAGTTTCCAGATTGAAGTTCTCACTTGGTTGACTCCACGTCCTGTGGCCGGGCACATTCCTGCTGCGGAGGGTGCTCCGTCCTCCTCCTACACAAGCAGGGCCTCTCTGTGCCTTCTCCACGCCAAGCACGTACACTTGCATTATCAAGCTTATCTCATCTTCACAACCTTGTGAGGGANGCAATTGGGAGGTATCTTCTGACCAAAGGATCTTTTCTCTCCAGCCCCACCTCTTCTTTCTTGTTGTCCCAGAAATATTGGGCTCATTTCCAAGGAAGAAGCTTTGATGATCTTATCCTAGCTCAGCTGCTCAGTTTCCCCACCCTACCCCTGAATGCAGCCCCATTAACCTAGACCATGCTGGCCTCAGTCCCTGGGGTGTCCTCACCAGGGTGCATCCTGGCAGCCAGAGACACCCAGCTGGGCTGGGCCTGCCGGTGGCTGAAGGGAACCCAGCCAGTGCCTCACCCTGTCATTAGGAAAAGTTTAGCCTCAGGCAGACATGCTCTGACACACTGTCTGGAGCTGGCTCAGAAGGAAAGAAATGCGTGGTCCTTGGGATTAGGAATGTGGAGGAGCAGAGCCCTTTTGCTCCGTGCAGGGAGGGCGGAAGCCTGACCACTTGGAGGGAGGGCTGAGATGCCACGTTTCCTAAGTAGGTGTGCGGCCAAGGGTGGCAGCTCACGTCAGTGGCCTTTGTGTTTTTCAGTACGTGGCATGCCTGGATGTCCCTGCCCTGGCTGTGGCATGGCGGGCCAAAGGCTCTTCTTTCTCACTGTTCTTGCCCTGGAGCTCATGGGAAGGGCTGGGGCTTCCCAGTCAGGCCTCCAGAGCCGGGGGGCTGCAGCGGCCTGTCGCCTGGACAACAAGGAAAGCGAGTCCTGGGGGGCCCTGCTGAGCGGGGAAAGGCTGGACACCTGGATCTGCTCCCTCCTGGGTTCACTCATGGTGGGGCTCAGTGGGGTCTTCCCGCTGCTCCTCATTCCCCTGGAGATGGGGACCATGCTGCGCTCAGAAGGTGGGTGACCATCCAGTGCCCCAGGGGCAGCCAGCAGTGTGGGAAACATGCTGCTGGTATTCTTGGGCGACCCCAGGTCTTACATACTAGTCACAGTGTGTCTGAGATGAATGGTGGGGATAGACTAGAATTTCTCACCTTGGTCCTGTGGGACTGGGGTGCACATGCTCATTTTTTCTTTCAACAGCAAGCAGTCACCAAGAAGCAGTATTGATAGTGGTTGGGAATATGGATGCCAGGCTCCCTGGGTTCAAATCCTGGCTCTGGGTAGCATTGGGCGAGTTATTTAACTTCACTCTGCCTCAGTCTCCCAACCTTACAAATGCGGATACTACTAGTAACTACCTCATAGGTACTAGTACGAAGATTAAATGAAGCTAATAGACATAAAGCACTTGGCAGATTGCCTGGTGCAGGGACAGGGACAGGGCTGGATGTTTGCAGGCCTCACGCCGGGCACAGGGGTGCAGTGGTAAGCACAGTCCTCTCCCTTCAGTCTCCACTCATAGCATAAGAGTTCTCAAACCAAGAGCAGCTGGGACAGCCTTCTGCAGGAATATACAATAGGCTGGTGGCAGGGCCTGCCTCTAGGGATTAGGGGGGGATCTGTGAGATTGGCTTTTCCTTGATTACCCTTTTGTGTCATGTGCATGTACTGCCTGTTCACAAATAACATGTTGTAATTGGAAATGAAAAAGATAATGTGGGGAGCTGCTAAAAATGCAGGTGCCTGGGCCGGCCCGTGGCTCACTCGGGAGAGTGTGGTGCTGATAACACCAAGGCCACGGGTTCGGATCCTATATAGGGATGACCGGTTCGCTCATTGGCTGACCGTGGTGCTCACACCACCAAGCCAAGGGTTAAGATCCCCTTACCGGTCATCTTTTAAAAAAAAAAAAAAATGCAGGTGCCTATCCCGTAACCCAAGAGTGTGACATTGTAGGTCTGGACCAGGGCCTCAGGAATTTGTTATAAATGAGCACCCCAGAGGCTTGTGCTGCCTGCTAGGCCCAGGAACTGTTTGTTTAGCAGTTGTTACTGAACACCTCTGTGCCAGGCTCTGGGCTGAGTGCTGGTGCCACAGCCATGCACAGAGCCCTCATGGGGGCCTGCTGTCATGCCTGGGAATCAGCTCATTCCCTCCTCAGAGCTGCCCTGCCAGGTCATTGGAGGGAGCACTTGGATTATTAGTTCCATTTTACAAGTGGAGAAGCACAGGCACAGAGAGGTTCTTGGACCAGCCCAAGGTCACACAGCCTGGAAGTAGCAGCTTCCCTTGGGATCCCACCTCACCACCCAGCTGCCTGTGTCTTCTAGGCACTTCAGTTTCTCTATCAAACCAAGGGGTTATAAGCCAAGAGAGTAAGCTATGAAAAAAAAAAAAAAAAAAAAACCAAGGAGTTGTATATGGCTCTCTTCGGGCACTTCCAACTCTGGATGCTACAAGTCTGCAAAGTCCCCAAATCTCTGCCGCTTTTCTGAGAGTGGCAGTGACTGAGAATGAAAAATTCCTATTTAATAAGCACTTGGTTATATATATTGTCATTTAATTCCTACAAGAATCAATTTACAGATGGGCAGTCTCAGAAGTTATCTGCCTAAGGTCGCCAACTGGTGGGTTGGGGTATTGGGATCTGTCAGGCTCCAAAGCCCAGTCTCTTAACCATGAAGCAGTAGTGGCCCCACAGTCATTAAGGTGTATTCCTGCTGAGCACTCACCTGTGCTGGGCCTGTGGGTTGGGGACCCAGGAAGAGCAGCAGCCCACATCCAGCCTTCTGGAGGCTTACAAGTCTGGTTGAGGCAACAGAGCCCAGTGAGGTGGGTGGGGCAGAGGTCAGGCAGGGGCTCCAGAGAGTCAGCCCCCAGACCTCGTATTTCTGCCTTGTAGCTGGGGCCTGGCGCCTGAAGCAGCTGCTCAGCTTTGCCTTGGGGGGACTTTTAGGCAATGTGTTTCTGCACCTGCTGCCCGAGGCATGGGCCTACACCTGTAGCACCAGCCCTGGTAAGTGAGCACAAGCTGGGGGCAAGAGGGCAGGAGTGGGGAGCTGGTGTCCATGCCCAGGGATGGCCTAGGCCCTGCCTGCTCTTTGCCTGCTCTGCCGAAATGACTGGGAGACGGGTTCTGGGCATCTGGCAGGGAACCTGCCTGGGAGGAAGGGTCATCTTCTTGATTCCAGCATCCTGGTCCCAATCAGCCAGTCCTGGACCCCCACCCCATCACTGCCCAGGACTAGGTCCCATTCCAAACAGCCCCCTCCTATGGCCCTGGCTTGGCCTGGTCTGTCAGTGCTGCCCTCTGCAGGTGGCAAGGGGCAGAGCCTACAGCAGCAACAGCAACTGGGGTTGTGGGTCATTGCTGGTTTCCTGACCTTCCTGGCCTTGGAGAAGATGTTCCTGGACAGCAAGGAGGAGGAGGGGACCAGCCAGGTGAGCCCCAAGCCCCAGGGCCTGGATACACCATCCTGTGTTCTCTGGTGGTGCCCTGGAGGCATGGGTTCTGAGTTGACCCCTGAAAAGAGGCATCTCTTGGACCTTTCCTGGGAACTGTAGGATGCTGGGCCAACTTCTTTAGGAGGATCTGGGGAGGGACACATCAGCCCCTGCTGTGGCTTGTTTTGATAGACGGATAGTGACGGCAGTGTGGGGATCAGGTGTTTGTTGAGTTTGGGGCACCCACTGATGGAGCAGCAGAGAGGTCTAGCCAGAGGAAAGAGGTGCTCCTGTCTCTTTATCCATCTCTGTCCCCTTCTGTGTCCACCCTGGCTGAGTGGGGGGCATCTAATGTCACCTCTCCCTCCTTCTCCTGGCCCTAGGCCCCCAGCAAAAACCCCACTGCTGCTGCTGCCGCGCTCAATGGAGGCCGTTGTCTGGCCCAGCCGGCTGCAGAGCCCGGCCCGAGTGCTGTGGTCCGGAGCATCAAAGTGAGTGGCCCACTCAGGGCCCCCTCTTCCTGCAGCCACACACCCAGGTAGCCAGCCTGACTCAGCCCTGCTGCCTCGCTCAGCCTGGCTCTCTCTCCCCTATCCCAGGTCAGTGGCTACCTCAACCTGCTGGCCAACACCATTGACAACTTCACTCACGGGTTAGCTGTGGCCGCCAGCTTCCTTGTGAGCAAGAAGGTAAGTGGGGTGTGGGGGGGCGCAGGTGGGGCTCAGGCAATTTTGGTGGGAATGGTGTTGACCATTGGTTCCACCTCCAGCATATGTCTCAAGTCTGTCTGCTTCTGGCTCCCTCCATTACCAGTACCCTCATCTAAGCCCACAGTCCTCCCTGCTGCTCTCCTGGATGCTGCCATAGCCACCTCTTTGGTTTCCCTGAACTTTTGTCCCGAGGCACTGGTCTGTTCTTGTTTCCACCATTCCTTGTTGGGATGCCTTTATCTCCAGCTGCTAGGCTTGGCCCTTAGGGGTCTTCTTCTAGACGCTTCTCCCTCCACCTCCTCCCTCTGCCCTCTGTGCTCTGACCCCAGTGGTCTGCCTACTCTTGAACTAGCCAAGCTCTTTCCTATCTCACACTGTCCCCTCTGCCTGGAATGTTCTTCCTCCCACTCTTCGAACGGCTGACGACTCATCCTTCAGGCCTTGGCACTTCCTCAGCGAGGCCTTTGCTGACCTCCCCAACTAAATGAGGCCCTTGTATTCCTGGCCCACGGCACCAGTCCATGCTTTTCCTCACAGCACCCATCAGCACATAACCACACGGTTCTGTCTCCCCTCTAGACTGTTAGCTTCATGAGGGCAAGTTTCTTGTCTCTTTTACTCACTGCTGTACTTCCAGTAGCCAGAACAGTGTCCAGCCCCAAACAAGCAGAGTAAATATCAGTAGACTGAGTGGGCAAGTGGGGTGCCGGGCCCTTGGCACAGACCCCGCAGACTCAGGCTCCCCTCCCTGCAGATCGGGCTCCTGACTACCATGGCCATCCTCCTGCATGAGATTCCCCATGAGGTGAGTGCCCGGAGGGCGGCCTCAAGGGGCCCAGGACTAAAGGTTCCTACGGTCAGCACGGCATGGAGCTGGGGCAGCAGCAGGCTGGGGCTGGGCTGTGTGGGCTTAGAGCTCCTCCCCCACCAAGCTGCAGCCGCCGCAGGACTGGTCCCAGGGGCAGGGTGGTTGTGGGGGCATGGAGCTTGGTGTTTGTGTCCTTACCTGAGGCATTTGGGATCTAGTCCAACTGGGGCCCAGGGTGAACATCTGCACCTCCCCTCAGGTGGGCGACTTTGCCATCCTGCTGCGGGCCGGCTTTGACCGATGGAGCGCAGCCAAGCTGCAGCTCTCGACAGCTCTGGGGGGCCTGCTGGGCGCCTGCTTCGCCATCTGCACACAGTCTCCCAAGGGAGTAGGTACGGGTGTGGTGGGTGGTGGCGGTCAGCAGAGGGGACCTGCCAAAGGGTCGGGGCTGCCCTGGTCTCCCCTGCAGGAGGCAGTGGGGTGCATAGGGTCCCCTGTGCTCCCAGCCAGTCGCGCGTTCCTCTCTCGCTGCAGAGGAGACAGTGGCCTGGATCCTGCCCTTCACCTCTGGCGGCTTCCTCTATATTGCCCTGGTGAATGTGCTGCCAGACCTCTTGGAGGAAGATGACCCATGGTGAGTGACCCATTGGGACTGATATTCACGGGGCCCACGGGACTGGGAAGGAGCTCCTGGCCTCTGCCTGCTCCCCCTGCCAATGCCACCACCCTGAGCCCTGGCCCCTCTCCCCACAGGCACTCCCTGCAGCAGGTGCTCCTGCTCTGCATGGGCATCGTGGTGATGGTGCTGTTCTCACTCTTTGTGGAGTAATCATCCCCGAAGCCCCCACCCCCACACAGCAATAAGAGACTTGATTCACTCTGTGACTGTGTATGTGAGAGGCAGAGAGGATGAGTGCCTGTGAGAGCAAGCGAGGGGGCATGTGTGTGGCGTGCACGTGTGGCCAGAGGTGTGTATGCGTGAGACCAACACTGTGATCCCTGTGTGCCTGCCCCTGCTACACTGTGGTCTTCTCTCCTTGCCACCCTGCCATCTCGCACCTCCCGGAGTAAGCAGTGAGGAACAGCAGCATTGGTCCCAAGCAGAGGTCTGCCTCACTAGGACCCTGCCTCAGTGGTATCCCAAAGGGGAGAGAGTGGCCCAAGGAACCCAGGATTGGAGGGAACCCCACAGCTGTCCTGCCTCCCACTGGAGCCCCCTGGGCCTCTGTGCCTCTGTGCTGAGGGAGTAAACCCCCTCTTTGCTCATGCACCAGGCCCCGGGCAGCCTAGGGGCCAAGGCTGGGGCAGCTTCTCGCTGCTGTGTGCATTTTCCCAGCCCTTCCTTTGCCACTTTTACAGCCAAAGAAAGGAGAGGCAGGTACTCATATAGCTACCAGTCCTCTCAGCACTGACAGTCCCTCCCTTCCAGCACTGAGCTGGGAGATGCTTTCCAAGAGCTCTTCCTCAGGGCCACTGCCCTTGGCCAACTCCTCCCCCAGCGAATGCTCCCTGGCAGCACCAGCAGCTCTTGCCACCTCCAGCTGCCAAACGGCAGCCTGCAGGGCAGCGAGCAGCCCCAGGCCAGAGGTCTCCCGGTCCAGCTCAGGGATGCTCCTGCCAGCACAGGGTCCAGGCAGAGACTTGGGCAGGAGAATGAGCCACAGCTGCCTGTCCCCGCTCGGGCCCCTTTTCCTTTCCCATTGGGGTTAGGGATAAGGTGGGGGTGGTGAGGGCTCCACATTGTCAGTGCTCAGGAATGTGCTCTGGGAGAATGCAGAAGCCATAATCCCCAGCTATTTCCCTTGGCTGACGCCCAAGTACTCAGCTGGACCTCTCCACAGCTGGGCTCCAGCCCTGCCGCTTGACTGTTGATGTTTTGAGAACTAGCCATGGAGAGGGCCTGAATGATCTTACAGCGACTTTGCCGTGGTTCTGTTTGTATCTGTAAATACCTGTTCTATAGATAAGGTACAAATAAATATTATCCACAAACCGGCTGCCTGTTCTGCACACGAGATCCCATGGCCAAGCAGGGCTTTTCCTCGGTGCTCCTGGCCAGGTCCTTGTGTCAGAACTGTGCATCTCTGAACATCTCATGTTTTCCTGGCTTGCTTCATTTTTAGCCTTTTACCCTGATAATGGCTGAGCACCCATATGAGCCTGGCACTACACCATTTTTGCCCCTCACCACCCTCAAGGACGTTGACATTATTTTACAGACCTAAAAGCCAGGAGTTTCTCCCCTGCTACCCCCTTAATAATTTAATCAAGGAAGTGAGCTCCATCTACAAAGTTATCTCCAGGTTTGGCTCCAGTGAAATCATCATTCATTAAGAAAAGAGGGCTGGCCGGTTTGTTCATTTGGTTAAAGCCTCGTGCTGATAACAAGGTCCAAGGGTTCAGGTCAGGCACTGGGTGGTATTGCTTCCCCTCTGTGCTATCAGAGAATGCAGAAAGGAGAAGTCCTGTCCACCTCTTTTCTCTCCAAGCCAAGCAGAATCTTTAGTAGCCCATTGGCCAGGATCAGCAGAGTCTGTGCAGTGTCATGGAGTCTGGTATAGGTGGTGTTAACATCACATCAGCTCCATCCTTAGCTAGCAGTGCCTAGCTTTAAGTATTTCTATCAGCAAAACACTTAGAAGGTGTGTAATATCTGCTTCACCTACCAGCAAGATAACTGACTAAAGGACCTAACAGGTCTAGGCCTGATAGACCCAAGGAACAAACCCATGGCTGTCTTCACCAGCCACCACTCGGCCCAGTTTCTTAAGCATAGCTATTAAGCGGGGATACGCTATTAGTGTTTATCCAGATAATTAGATAAAATTACGCACTAAGACCTGTATAGCATGTGGCATAGAATGAGCCCTCAAAGAATAGTGACCCACACTAGCTCATGTGAGGTGGGAGAGCTAGAAAGTTGGACAGGAAGGGATCAGCGAGATCCTAAAGCAAACTGTGTGAGAGGACAGGGGGCCTGTTGGAGTGGGAGAGAACATAGCAGGACAGAAGATCAGGCCTAGAAGGCTCTCAGAATAGATTTTGTTCAAGGCTCACTTTTCAGCCAGAGGAAATGGACCAAAAGAGCTAATAGGGGCATATGGAGAAATAGGTGGGCCGGACGGTTAGCTCACTTAGGAGAGTGTGGTGCTAGTAATACCAAGGTCATGGGTTCAGATCCCTGTACCAGCCAGTGGCCAAAAAAAAAAAAACAAAGATCCAGGGGCCAGGAAACTAGGAAAAACTTTCAAGGACCAAAGACCCAAAGCCTGGCTTTATAAGCAGACAAGCACTAGGGCCACAGCATCAAAACACAGAAAGAAAGTAAAGGCTGGCCTCTGTTCAAGCACTTCATTCTGGAACTGCAGGGCCACAAGCCTCTAGAAGCTCAGCGAGGTGGGGCTATGAAGAGGGACACAAGGCTTTGGTGAAGACTCCAGGAAACAGCTGCAGCACCCTACACACCCCAAGGGCCTCACCCTGACAACTGGTTTGGGGCCCACAGCTGTCTCAGGTTTCCAGACTGCAGCACCTGGGGAAAGGGCCTCCTGCACATGCCCCCACTCAGCCACCCAGAGTTCAGGGGAGGCAAGACAGTCAGGTGGCAGGGACCCAAAGCCATCTTTTATTACAAACTTTAACCAGCAGGAGACCAGGGGCAGGTCTGGGGGTGCCCCTAGGCGTAGTACTGCAGATTGGCTTTCTTCTTGGCCTGCACCTCGAGGATGCCCTCCATGTAGTCCTCGTGGGTGAGCTCCGTGGCACCCCTGCGCAGTGCGATCATGCCCTGCAGCCAGCACAGACAGGGCTAGGGCATCTACCCGCACCCCTATCCCTGCTCCCAGAAGCCTGGGCCTTCTCAACCTCTTCCGTCAGCAGTCTCCACCAGCCAAGCACCTTCCACCCCTGTCCTGTCTAGGGAAGGGGCAAGAAGGCAGGAAGCAATGCACCCACGCCACCAGACCACTCACCGCCTCCACACACACGGCCTTGCACTGGGCCCCATTGAAGTCATCCGTACAGCGAGCCAGCTCCTCGTAGTTCACATCAGGACTGGGGAGAGGGCAGACATCACAGACTGTTACTTATGGGGAGGGGGCAGATGTCCTCCCACACCCCCATCAAGCAGCAAAATCAACTTGTCCTATGACCATGGGCAAGTCCCTTACCCTCTGCACCTTGTTTTCTTCTCAGTACAAGATGGGGTGACAAAAGAGGGTAAGTTAAAGCAGGTTAGACTAGGGACTAGGGTATTTCTAGTGCCCCTTTTTTTTTTTTTGGAGGGGAGGGCAGCTGGCTGGTAAGGGGATCCGAACCCAGCTGAGCTAACCAGCCAGCCAGTGCCTGTTGAGCTCTATCTAGCCTTCTAGAAATTTGCATGGAGACTCCAGGGACTGACCGAGTCTGAGGCAGGGGAACGGGGGGTTATGGAGACAAGACGGTCTCACATACTCCCAGCAGAGTGGCTCCACAGCAGCACAGAACTGCTGCTACTATACTGTCCTCTTCACGTGCCAAGCACTGTGCTCATTCCTGTCACATCTAATCCTCACCACAACCCTCTGAGGACAATGCTATTATGCCAAAATCCCAAATAATACAAATGAGGCTTAGAGAGGCCACACCACCTGGCAAAGGTTGTAGGTCTGAACTCAGGTGTACCTGGCCCCTGGCTAGATTCCCCTGGGCCATGCTTGGGCTGTGTGCATCTGCTTGGGTGTGGGAGGCTGGGAAACTGGCCCTCTGGCCTGGCCTCTCAGGTGGGAGTGTTAGGGAGGGGGCAGGGGCATGGATTCTAAGAAGCAATGGACCCAGATGAGGGCCTGGGCCCCACCAAGACTGTGTCAGGCAACCGGGGAGAAACAGGCCAGCGTGTGGAACAGCGCTGTGTGTGCATGGGGAGGGGGAGATGGTGGTCACGGAGGCTGGGGAGCACAGTACAAAGAGAAGCAACAGCGTCTTGCTCACATCCGTGCTCACCTGACATTCATCTTTCGGGAATGGATCTGCATGATTCTGGCCCGGGCCTCCTCATTGGGCATTGGGAACTCGATCTTGCGGTCCAGTCGGCCTGAGCGGAGCAGGGCAGGGTCCAGGATGTCCACCCTGTTAGTGGCTGCAATGACCTGAGGAACAGGAGAAGCAGCAACTTGCACTGAGGAGGAAGGCATTCACAGATGGGCAGTCATGGTCATAAAAGGCAGAGGCAGCCCAGGGTGCAGGTGAGACAGCAGGGGACATTAAAGATAGGCCCAAATTATAATTCTAGCCCCACCATTCACTAGCCGGCTGACTTGAGACGGTTCCCTGACCTCTGAGCCTCACTTTCTCCATCCAGTAAGTGATAATACTCACCTTTACTTGTGTGTTGGGCTGGAAGCCATCCAGCTGGTTCAGAAGCTCCAGCATTGTCCTCTGCACCTCCCGGTCCCCAGCCTTCTCACTGTCAAAGCTGGGGCACCCCAGAGGCCCGAGACACTGGTGAGACCACAGCGTGGGGAGAGCCCTCCCTTCTCCACCCACCAGAAGCCTGCCCAGGGCAGGGAAATTTCTTGCTCAACTTGGGGCCCCCAGCCCAGGGCTGGCACATTAAAGGTGTCATTGATTGTGGAATGCAGTATTCAGAGACCGGAGAGGCTACTTGGATCAGGTGCTAGGCCTAGCACAAAACAGTGAGCACAAACAGCCACTGCCCAGGCTATCACCCAGATGGACATGCGATTGCAAACTGAGCTAAAGCTTAGAAATACTGTGCAGGGATCTGGCCCAGACTTGGAGCACAAGGGGGAGCTAGGCAGTCAGCCCCTAAAAAGCTTCCCTGAGGCTGAGATCTGAAGGCTGAAAACACACTGGCTGGGCGACCAGCTAGAGAAGAGCCAGGGTGGGCCTGAAAACCGAGGGGACACCGTGGACGGAGTCCAGAGCAGGGGAAGTAGGGACAGGTAGATGAGGCTGGAGGGGAGCAGGAGCAGCCTTACACAGGGCCTTGCAGGCCACAGCAAGCTCAGCATTTCTCCCAAGGAGCAATGGGGAGGCCCAGAAAGAGTCTATTTGTGTGAAGGACTGTGGGTACATATGAGTGAGGTGGCCAGATTGCTATTTTTTTTTT